GCCTCGAGCACCTTCAAAACAATGTTAGCCTCCATATCCTCCACAATGTTCTTACTCGGTGCTTGCACTTCCTTAGCAGCTCGCTTCTCGGCTTTTTTTTTTTTTTTGTATTGCCTGATAAACCTTAGCAATAGGGACATCATAATCAAGTCTCATATCTTCAAGAACAGTTCGATAAAGAGCCTCTTCAACTCTGCCCTTCTCAGCATCTCCAGCTTCCGGTAATGTGGCTACTTCAGGTAAAGTAGCAAGGGGAGTAATGGGCTCAGAAAGCACCAAAGCAGACTGTGTATCAAAGGACTCAACATCTTCAACCTCGACGCCAGCCTCCTCCATCACCTGTGTTGACAAGTCAATAACAAAATCCCTTGTATCCTCGTCAAAGTCGCGGGATCCAAGATAAGCCTCATTGGGACCCACATTTTCCTTATTTTAAGCTCCTTAGTAACCGAATGGCATTTCGCGCCCACACTTTGGCGTTCCTGAATCTTCCCATGTAAATTCAAATTTTTTTGGGTGAACCTCACCGGCCCGGCTACACCCCTACCATTATTCCAATTATGCCACTTCACCGGAGGCTGTTGTGCTCTCCCCCTACACACCAAAGTCCATCTCCCCTCAGGCGGCTGAACCTCACATGGTTGGGCCACCTGCTTACCACAATCCATCGTCGGGCCTTTGCCCTCCAAACACACATCTATTAGAAATAGATCCTGGCCCACCTGTAGTCTAACTTGTCTTGGGCAAGGCACTCCAAAAAGCGATTGATTTGAACTCTGACAAAAGAAGCATTGGGATCACCTAAAAGCTTTAGATCAAACAACACAATACTCACCAAAAGAGTTAACAATTTATTTGAAAATAGACTCATTCCAAACATGGAGCGGAACACCCACAAACGAACCTAGGTTAGATCCTTCTTCACAAAAGAACAATGCATTGAAGGATTCCATTGTAATAGAGTCATCAACGAACCTCGAACTCTGTAAAATCTTTCCTTCCATGCACGAGCCACCTCTTGATCAGACAGTAACACAAAAGCTACCCTACCTTTGTCAAAAAAGAACGCATGAGGCAAATACGACAAACCCCAACCCCGTTTTGCCCAATCATCCAAACCAAAAGTATCATTAATCGGCGGACAAGGATCCTACCAAGATCTGCTGAGCCTTCCTCTCTAAATCATTTAGCTTACCAATCTGCACCTTCAAAACCTTTGCCACAGACCCATCATACCTAGTCCGAAGATCTCCCCCAACCTCCATTGTAGCATTTTAGGTGCTTTCTCTCTCCTTCCTCAAACGTTTTCCTCCATTTCGATAATCTTTGTGCCCATTCTCAGCGTGAGTTTCTCATGATCTCATGAGAAAAGAAATTGATTCTATTGAGAAAAATGACGTGTGAGTAAAGAAATTGATTCTGTTGAGAAAAATTATGTGTGAGTAGCCTATATAGTTTCTAGATTCTAAGCAACATGAAATTGTCAAAGAAACCAAGTAAAAAACCCAAAAATAACAAATATGTGGTTTATGCCTGCAAAGAGAGTTAGCTACAAATCACACACTAATTAGCTATTCACTAAATATTCTTAGTGATATAATAAAAATCACATGTTTGCTCCAATAAGGTAATCCAGAATAGTTAAGAATTAAATATACATGCCTCCCTCCTCTGCGGTCTCTCTCTACCCCTCTCAAGCTCCCCTTTCTCCTCTCCCTATCCCTCTTCGAGCCTCTCTTCTCTGGGCTCTCTACCCTTTTCAAGCTCCCTTTTCCCTCTCAACATGGTAAGTCTACAACTCTCTCAAGCTCCCTCTCTCTTCATTACGCGCTCTCTCTTCATCACGCAATGCATTCATAGAAACCAAATGTCTTATGTTTGCCCTTTTGATATAGTCAGTCATCTTCTCTCTCCCTCTTCGAGCCTCCCTTTTCTGTCCTTATTCGAGCCTCCTTTCTCTAGGCTCTCTCTACAAGCGAGCCGTGCTGGTAAATTATAATGATTACTAAATCTTAGATAAATTATAATGATTAATAAATCTTAAAAAAAAAAAAGCAGATTTTTTTTGGATTAGGGTTTAGATCGAGACAAAAAATTGATAAATTATATTTATTTAAATTATAATAATTACCCTTTTAAAAGAAAAAAGGAGTTTTTGGGATTAGGGTTTAGATATAGATAAAGAAGTGTAAACTACTTACACATTGGCCTCTTCCAATATCTTAATCTAATTTTTAAAATACTTTACCATTTCACATTAATTTTTTTAAAATACATCACCATTTATTATTAAACTACAAATTAACGATATTTAAATTTTGTGACTAAAATAGTTCACTCAATGTTTATGACCAATATTAATTCACACTACTAAGCTATTATTCTTTGAGGTATGACAAGCATGGTATAGTATCTATACATATGCATTTCAATATTAAATAGGAATGTCTACAAAGAGACCATTTATCTTTTGTTAATGGAGGTCACAATCATTCTCAAATATTAGATGTCAAATTGGACAGCTTGAGGTGAGTCATGAAGTGATTTTTTTTTTTTTAAATTTTGTATTTATTCAATGACACTAGTACAACCACCCATGTTGACATTGTAAGGTGCAATGTAGACAATTTCATATTAAACTGTGTCAAGTAAGAGCAATGTATTTTCCAAGTTGCATCTAAATATTACCCAAACGTTAACAATCTATTTGCATATAATGTATTACGCAGTAATGTATTATGCCAGTAATATTTTTCACAGACAATATATTTTCAAGTATCCAAACGACCCCTTGGTGTAAAGTAGTTCACAATTAATCTTGACCGTTGGATGTAAAATTGAGTGGTTGCATTTATTTCATTGACCAAACTCAAAGTTCAAAATAATTTTTTTCGAACTTTGTGACACACCCAAGCTATCAGATTTCACATCGGATGGTTGCAAGTAATTTGTGACCTCCATGTACCAAAGGTAAATGGTATTGTTGTATGCAATCCCATATTTTAATCGTGAATAAGCCAAGTCTCAACCCAAAACTCACTTAAAATTATAGTTATGGAGTTGGAAACATTTCAAACCGAGCATCTCACCTTGATTATTGTGGTTGTGAAAAAATTAGGATTTCAAACATAAAAATAATATATATTGTAACACATTATCTATATTATTCATTTCAACCTAAAAATAAGAGTTCACGTATTTGCATGATCTATAACATTTTTTTGCTTCAAATTTCATAGTCGGTATTAGAAATTGATTTTAGAACCATCATGGAGATTGTCGATGCCCAATGTTCTTTTCAGACAAGGATTTGGGGTAAGGGTGTCCGTTGTTTTTATAAACCCTAGGCTTGTAGAAATTGCATCCTTTACAAAAGGAAAAAGTCATGAGGTTGAAACATTAAAATGTGGAATTAAGATGCACCTAAAAAATTCATCGTAAAAGGTTATTTTGAAGTCGAGAAATCCTCTAATTGATCATCTCGACATTTAGTTGTATACGAAAAAAAAAGGATTTCGAGTGCCGAAAACAGTGCATCTTTCAACATATTACCTAGACCATCCATTTTCCATATGTTCATGTGTTTATACTAACTATTTTTTTAATCTCAAACTTTATAATTAGAGATGAAAATGGATTCTCAGGGCATCCTAAAAAACTATTAGGATAACTTTAGTGGTGCACCTTGCTTTGATTGTTTAAAGTTACAACCTTATACAAACCACACCTTTTATAAAAGGAAAAAGTTGGTGTAGTCCATTAGCCTAAGCCTACATATGAGTCCAACGGCCCAGATTGAATCCGCCGATCTGACGGTCATAACCTCATTTCATATTTTTATTTTCATTTTTTTCTACAAATACACATCACATGAAATTTTAGGTATGTGTTCTTCTCATCAAGGCTCATCTAACAAAAATTTGGGCAAATTTTTTTTTTTTCTAGGTTGTGTTTTCAATTTTTTCTCTTTTTATGATTATTCGTTAGAATGAAAAGAGTGTATATTTCAAATTTTGGATCAAACAAATGTCCATAAGATGGTTTTTTAAGGTTGTTGCATTATAATACTATACAACGGATGCATGAAATCATTGCCATATATAAATATATATTTGAAATTTTTGAAAATAGATCGATAATTTCTTACTAGATATATAACTTTTTGGACTTCAAATTATTTTTTTCCTACACCGATACATCTTGAGAAGGAGATGTTCAAATTGGAGGGTTTTTTTGACATTAGAATGCTGTCTTCTAGAAGATTTTTAAGGTGCGCCTTGTGTACGGTTTGACATCTCGTTGGAGGCAAATCTCAATTTGGCGTTCTGTAAACTAGAAGAAAATGCTTCAAGCTCAAGCATACATATTCTCTTTATTTTATCACCATTCTGTGATTTGATTTTGTTTCCTGGCCCTGGTAATGCTTGCCTCTAGTATTTTAATTTTTTTATTATTGAAATTCTTGAGATGCCGAGATTTTAATTTGTTTGTTAATCATCAGGTACAATCCTATTGGAATTTTGGGATCCTTCTTTTAATCGCTATATTAAGGTTTCAATATTAGCTATTATATGCGTGGAAATGGGGAATGTGATTTATGCGCTATTTTGAACATCTGCATTTTCTTCTTAATTTTAGTTTTTTAAACTCGATAGTTCGTCTCTATATTTCTTTACAATAAACTTTTTACAAGAAATATTAGGTTAAACAATTTTTTGAAATTTTTTTAAGGCCGGATAGGGCCGAATCAGCAAGATTGTGTGAAATTTTAGGGAGGTCAGTGTTTTTTGAGGGATTTTTTCATCAATATGTCAAATTTGGTTGCTGAAAATGACCCAAATGCTGAGATTCTTCATAGGTTGGATTGAATCAAAGTATTTATGAATTTTTACAATTTGTGTCTGCACCTCACTTGAATTCTTGATTCTGAGGAACGCATTTTGTATCCACTGTTCTTGAAAGAGAGAAAGATAGAGGAGAGAGCATAAAAAATCATAATGTGCAACAAGAAAGCATCAAAATTCACAATGAGTTTAGTGACATGAATTTGCCAACACACTTCTTCATGGATAAGTTTATTCACATGCCTAAGACTGGCCTATGGCCCATGTTTCTAGTGAATTCATAGTGTAAGACATCACAAGAAAGACTGAGCTATAGTAACTCAAACAACTGCAAGTCAAGTTCATTTGGCTTCTCTCCATCTCTCCTAAGGCAGGTGGTCCAATCTCTCCTCCAACATAAGTTCCTGCTAATGGTACACCTGGAAAAATCTCAGAAAAAGCTGAGCTATCAACATTTTTTTCACGGAAAAATGGTAACCCACGACTTGTACATGCAAAGATCAACCCTCCAAACACTTGAGTCTCCAAACCATTTTGCATGTTTCTTGGGCCACAATCTTCACTTCCTTTCTGTTTCAAAACCTTAAGTTGCTCACAAACAGCATTGCGTGATGCCCATGCAGCCTCTACACTGGGGAAATAAAAGCGAAAGGTATCTGCAGTTTTGATTCCTTCACCTTCAAGATTGAGGTACCTGTCGTCCGAGCTGTAAATGACCAGGAAACTAGAATGTTAGGCTCAAAATTCTTCAAATGTGTCAAGGTGCAACTTCATTTCCATATCCATGCAATTCCAGGGGACAAGGAATTCAATGAAAGGAATAAAATCAAAACATTATGTTTGCTTTTTAAGGACATGAGATTAGTTATTGTGAATCTTACTTATAAAATCCATGATATGCAAAGGATGAAACAGATTTTCTTTTCCCAGCTGCAATGTAGTGCTTTCTTCGCTTTAGAACTCCAATATAAGGATCCCCATAGATTTCATTACCAACCTGCCAGAGTATTTAGGAGTGAGAAAGTACATGATTCCATGAGCAAAAAGGAATTCATGCATACATAAAGAGCAACTGCACAATGAGGTGAATCAGGATTATGGTCACTTGGTATTTTAACATGTAAACCTCCTAGCAAGAGAAAGCCACAAATAAAAAATACTGTCAATGCAAAGTCTTGATTTCAAGTTTGAACTGTTAATACTTAACAAATCAAAAGAAAAGATAGGCTAGTATGCCAAACCAAAAGTAACTCCATGCATCACCATTAATGATGACCTCTATGTATCTAAAAGAAAACCGGAACCCATTAATGCCAACACTTGTGTCTAAGGTATGATCTAACTAAGAATTTTTTTAACCCATGTATCAAGGAAACTTGTGTCTATTGGTTGTGGTGCATGTCGAATTATTAGGGAGACAACCCTGTCTGTGACAATTTAGAAATTTAGACTTTTTTTTGCTGAAATTTAGAAATTTCTAACCTATTTATCAAGGAAATGAGTGAATCCAAATATTCCATTTTTAGTATGATCATTATTAAAAAGATATGCAAATTTTGATAATACATTTGGAAGAATTCAATTAAGGAACTTGTCAAATATTTGAAGCACGAAAATTATGTAAGATAAAATGGCTGTGGTAGTTGAAGTTGCTCAAGTGCTGATCACGAAAATTATTGTTGCTGCTAAGTGATGTTCAAAAATTACATATGGTAGCCAACATAGAAAGAACCATAAATCTTAGAGGTATGATGGATCAAACCTCATTCTCAATCTCTTCCCAGATCCTTGGACCATCCAGTGCATTAGGGAGCCCTTCTCTTTTAGCGGTGAGCCATGTTTCTTGCAGACTCGATCTAACAGAAGCGACCTTGTACGAAGGACCCCTAGGTTTTAAGCCAGTTGATACAGCAGAAGTAAAGTGGATTTCATGGACACCTGCATAACGAAATAGATAGTTTCAATAGGCTGACAGCAGAGAGCCCAATATATAATGCAATAACCATGAGAATTATCATGCAGTCTAGTTCACCCTTTCTAATGACAAGGTACACATGAGAAAAGAATACACTCACTTATTTGTCCTTTTGATTTCCAGGAACAAATGGCCACATAAAGAAACTATAAAGAATGAAATAGATAACCAACCAATTTCCTGTAAATTTCTGAACTGCTGCTTTCACTTCATAACAAACAATGATAATGATTAAAAAAACGAAATGAGAAAAATAAAAGTTCCAATTTTAACATCACATTTTATTATTTCAGATGCTTTTGTGAAGGACTATGGTCCCCATTGCTCCAGGTGTCCCTTCTTTGATAAACTTAGCAGAAAGAGACTGATACCCTAACCATATATTTCCACAAGACTCAACAAAAATGAACAACAATAAAAATCTGATTTGAATAACAATAATTATTCCTTCATAAGGAAGACTCTAAGAATCATCTTGCAAGCTCCAACAGCATATAAAAATTACTGTCAAGTAGATAAAAATAAAGCTACAACAAGAAGCCATGAAATGAACTCACAAGAACTAGTCAACTCAAAACTGTACATTTCAAATCCATAAATCAGCATCACATCCAAACACAATTTCTCCAACCATTACCCACATCTCCTTTTTAAGGAGCTCACTTGAAATATATACAGCACATCAATCCAGTTCCTAAAGCAAACAGGGCCCTTCCTAGATATGATAACCATTGTCACACTTCCTTGAAGCAACCTTTGTTGAATTTCCATAAAAACTTCATTGAAAATAAATGGTTTGCAATGTGTAAAACTTGGATTATTGGACTCTTCTATCATAGCACAATTCAAAGAGTTGCAAGTATTTTAACTGCAGTTGTATTTCAGTAGCACGAAATATCTTGCTTTTCTTGTTATAATTACTTCCGCAACTCCAATCTAAAACCATTCTCAGTTCAAAAAAATCTAAATGGTATATTTTTCTTTTCCGATGTAGGATTTCACTAAAACAAAAGCCTTTGAAAAAAAGTACCTAGAGTATTATACATGTCCTTCGCAAATACTAGAGCAACCGCATCAAGTCTATAATTACGATCCATCAGTAGTTTGGTATACGATCTTGATTTAGATGATTCAGGGGGCAGACACAAATTTTGAATTCTCGTAGTTCTTGACCAATCTCCAGCACTATATAGGATACTTCCTTCTTTATCTTCAGCAGCAACTCCACCAACTATAGGAGTTTGTCCCTGAAACGCATCATCTGGAAATAGAGAATAAAATATAGCAGAGTTCGAAAACCATGGACTTGCCCAATGATCATATATTTTTGAGTATGTTACAGAAAAACATTATCATTTAAGAAGAAATATACATTGAAAACGTAAAAAACACAAGAATCACATAATGGGAAGTACAATCAGACAAAATGAAAAAAAGATCAAGAAAGATGAGGCATTAAGGTAAGGGAAAAGTTTATATAGAGCCAAGGCTCTAAGCAATCAAATTCGAGCCTACCTCAAAACTTTCACTAGAAGATATTGTTTTGATGCCCAAATATCCTCAATTCATCATCTCGATATCAAGATGCATGGACATGATAAAAAAATGGATTTCAAGTTTTGGAAATATTGTATTTTGTAAGGCACTTTTGGACCGTCAAATTTCAAGATTTTCAAGTTTTCATAGATCCTCGATTTACATTATTTGAAGGTAGGCTCTAATTTGATTATTTAGATCCTAGGCTCTATACAAAGCGCACCCTTAAGGTAAACCTGAAAAATTAGAATAAATACCATAGGTTTTGAACTTTAAAGAAGGTGACCAACATGACCAATAGTCCTAATGAAAGGCCAAACCAAAGCAATCTCACGTACATGTAATATGAACTAGTGATATGCATGTGCCTTGCACGTTAAATTAATTGTTAATTATATAAATAATTATTTATTGTGAAATTATATTTTAAAAGGACATTCTATTAGAGAGAGAGACATAATTAAAACTATTTTTAATTACATAAGTAAATATAATATTTACTTATAAGTAAATGTTATAAAATTAGATAATATGAAAATACAAAAATATGTCACATGATACATATAATAACCTCATAATAAACATGAATCCATTGCAATCAAAACTAATCATAATAGTAGGAAAATTTTTCTTTTCTCCCTTTTTTTCAATTTTATTTTGGATTTTTAAAATTATAAAGAAATACTGACAGAAATGAAAAGAATAGAAAAAGAAAAAAAATTGAATAAAGAAAATAAACAATATGCTTTCGATTTAGGAAATTTTGGAAATTATTTATTTTTCTTCCTCAGTAAATTTCCTTTTGATTTTGAAAGTAGCAAGCTCAAATGATTTTTAATAGAAGTAGATAAGTTGCTTTTGTCATATGATTAAATCGGCTGCAATGTTTGCATAATTTCATACATTGTTCAGTCTTGAACATGAGCCATCCAAATCGAGACAGTGTTTTGCCCTTTTTCATGAGATAAACTATGAAACCTATGTAACGATAAAAAATAAAAAATAACTACAAAACCCACCATTTATTCTAGAAAAGAAGAAAAAAAACCATGATGTAACTAATCACCAAGATCTGAATTTTGATGGGAAAGCCCTGTTTCCACTTCCACGCTCTTCAGATGATTAAAATAAATAACTCTTGATTTATGGTGGATATTTGGAGAATTGCATTGATGTTTCTAATGTTAAACTTGTCAAGCTTGAAACGATAACCCCATAATACAAAAAGTTTGCTAATTTACAATTTTATAATATTATCTATAAATTATAATTTTAGATTATTTTTTAGTTTAATATATTATTATAATATTTCAAATAATATTTTTTTTAAAATTATTTATTAGTTAATTTAATTAATTCTCTCTCTCTCTCTCTCTCTCTCTCTCTCTCTCTCTCTCTCCTAGGGAGGCATTCTATCTCTAATCAAAATTGTCTCTCTTTGAAAACTCTCCCTCGAACATTAAAGACACATCATCCCAAATGGATGATATCACTCCTATAATAGAAATTGCAAAAAGCATGAAAAAATAGGAATTAAAAGACATGAATTTGAGAATTAATTAAAACTATTTTTTTTGGTTCTCTTATCAACAATTTCTAGCAATAAAAAAAAGGAACCATATCTTTAAAAAACCAACCCACCCACATACATATTCTGCTTACGTGCTCTCAAAAAAAATAGTACATGTCTCCATGAAGTTAGATGAACAATAAAAAAAGAAAAAAAAGAAAAAAAAATAAATTAAAAATACAATAATAACAAAATAAATGGAAATAACATACCTGTTTAGAGAATATGCGTCATCGCCTTAGAGAGACATAGATAATCGCTTGTACCGAGAGCGAAGAATAAGAAATTAGATATAGAAATCGTAACCATATAAAGTGTTTATCGTAAGAAAGAGATAGAGGTGTGCATGTTTGAGAGACAAAAAGGTATGCTTGTCAGAGAAAAAGAGAGAATCTGTGAGAGAGAGTGCCATTGATGGTTAAATAGGGAGCGAATACCTTGAGAAAGAAAATAGAAAGTAATAAATAAAAAGCAACTTAAATTTGCATTTAATGCGAGATGCATATGGGAAAAGGCGTTGAGAAATTATTGATTTAACAAGATAGGGGAGAGAGAAATAATAGTAATATTGGGTTGTTACTCAAAAAGAGTTTCTCATTATACAAATGAGGTGCTCTTTTCCAAAACTTTAAAATAAAAGGTCAAAATCATAATAATAAAAAATATAAAAGCTAAAAATAGAAAACAAAAATATTATAGAAATTTGATTAATTTAAGAAAACAAAACAAAAATAGAGAAAGAATATATAATCTTTTTCTTTTGTTTGCATTCACCACTACACATATCATTTTTAATTGTGTGAATAATATATAATTATAATAAATGAAACTATGATTAACATTGTTATCATTCTAATTTTTACTTTAATAAATTGAAATTATAGAATTATAATTTCTATGTTTCTTTTATTATAATTATAATAATGAGTATTATTTATTCATAAATATTAATATAGTTATTCATAATTGTTATAATATATTTATAAAACAAATAATTTTAGAGAGAGGGAGAGACATAAACAGATAGGGGAAGAGAAGGAGAGACATAAACCGATTGGGAGAAGTGATGAGGAGAGGGACAGGAAGAGAGAGACATAAACCGATTGGGGGAAGTGATGAGGAGAGGGACATGAGAAGGAAAGAGAGAATAAATAAATATTTACTATACATGCTTAATAAGAGTTATAAAAAAGAGAGAGAAGTTAAGTGAGAGTATGGGGTCGGAGAGAGATGAGAGAGCTTTATTAGGAAATGAGTTACATAAGAGAGTATGGGGGAGGAGAGAGAGGAGAGAGCTTTATTAGGAAAGGAGTTGCATGAGAGAGTATGGGGGTGGAGAGAGAAGAGAGAAGAGAGAAAAAGTGGGGATGGAGAGTTATTAGGAAATAAGAGTTATAAAAGAAAGGAGTTATGTGGAATTACATGGGGGAGGAGATAGAAGTGAGAGAAAGACGTTGAGGGGGAAGTTATTAGCAAAGATGGATGATTAAAAGAAGGGAGAAAATGAGATGAGAGAGAAGATGGATGCACACTCATGAATCGGGAAGGAGAGAGAAGAGAGAGAAAAATATGTGTTAGGGGAGGGGGAATTATTAAGAAAGAGGGATAATTAAAGGAAGGGAGAGAATGGGATGAGAAAGAAGAGGGATAGACATGAGATGACATGCATGGGCATGAGAGAAAACATAACGAGAGGGGGGAGTTATTAATAAAGATGGATAATTAAAAGAATGGAGAAAATGGGATGAAAAAGAAGAGGGATGGGCTTGAGATGACATGCATGGCATGAGAGAGATGTGGGGGGGGAGCATGAGAGAGATGTGGGGGGAGAGAAGAGAGAGTTATTAATAGGGTGGGACATGTGGCACAAAAATAGGGAGGGTGTTGCTCTTGCTTAATATATAAAATCGATAGATTATCGAAAGAAATAGAAAACAACATTGTTTAATATGAAGAACAATTGTCTAACTTTTCATTTAGATTAATCTCATCATTTATAGAAGTTCAAGACCACTGACAATCACAGGTGGCCCATATACAAAAACATGCTTTATATTAGGAAAGAAAAACTTATAATGAGGATGTGTTCGTATCTAAATCCCATGTGAAAGGAAGACTAACAAGAACGACGTAGTGTTTCATTACTTTCAAAACAGGTAAGAACATATCAAAAATATGGGAAACTCAAAATGTTATGAATACGTGACACTCTCCATAATATAGGATTGCTCACATTCTACCAGATGGAGGGTATTTTGTAGATAAAAGGAGAAAAAGGCCCTGGAAGATACTCGCCAATACAATTGTTTTTAGAGAGCAATATAGCCAGCTATCACTTAACAAATATTTCTGTTGTTGGGACACATCCCAATTTAAGTTTTGGGAAATTTATCAAAATACTCCTTCAATATCAACTAACATTCTACCCTTCTTCAATTGGTCCAACTCATAATCATATGTCTTTTGATGGGTTTTTAAATTAAATCAGAGGAAATGGGTAAAATGTTAAATACTTCATCAGTTATGTGTATTTTGATACTTTTTTGATAGAGATCATAAGATATTGTCTAATGTTTCAAAAGAAATAAAAGGAAAACACTAGCAGCTAGAAGAAATAACACCAAATACACAAAAATATATGAAAAGATGCACCAAGTTCAAACTACAAGAAAAAAAGAATAGAGAAAGCTTTCTATACTTACCCGACTGTATTGAAGTTATATAATTCCCCCCCATCCAGCCGTCCAATTCGAGTGAGCCATTGACCATTTGATCTAAATTTGAAGCCTTAGAGTACTTTATTTTTAATTTTTTTTACAAATCATATAAATATGAAATTTCGTACATGCCGTCATCTCAATGGCTGCACCAAAAAAAATATTAAAAAACATATTTTTTGAAAAACTTTACCAAAATACACCTTGAAACAAAATTACCAAAATACCTATGAAACTTTTAGGGTTATTCTGGTCATTTCATTTTATTGAGAATGTTTCTTATATATTTTTTACATGTGCGAGTTCAAGAGAGGAGGGGACGCCAAAATTTGACTTCAAAATGTTTTGTAAAAAAAAATTAAAAAGAAAAGAAGTATAAAATGTATATACATTAGGGGAAGAATAAAAAGCTCCCAAAAGAATAACTACAAAAGAAATGAAAAACTAATTGAAAAGAAAGATATTTTCTTGTTTATCAAAATAATATATTTTTTAGAATAATTAAAGTTAATTATCAAAGAGAAATGACAAAGAAATTTGTCTTCGGGAAATTACAGTAGAACTAATTTTAAAATATTTTGTGGGATTACTCGTCAAGTATAAATTGTTCAATTTAATTGATAATTTGGGAAACGTGGATCACATAACTAAATTCCAAACAAAATTTCCACCTGGAAAGTCTCTTGGGTACCATTCAATTTCTTTTCTTCTACTGGGGTAAGGAAAATTTTCTGTTCAAAATAAAAAACAGATATATGTTAACTCAGACTAGTTTCTATTTTAATACACACGGGCTCTTCAAAGTCTCTTTCTTTCTTTTTTTTTTCTTTCTTTTTTGTTGAAGGTTAAACTTGGCAGTTCCATCAGAAGTGCTAGGTAACATGTAGCACAAGTAACCTAGGCAGTTCCATCAGATGTGCTAGGCAACATGTACCACAAGTGGTCCAGATGGCTACCTGAAGCTCTCAAAAACTTAAATAATTAATATAACAAAACAAATATTTCATATAAAAAATGTACCAGAAGGGAGCCTAGGCAGTTCAATGTGGAAGGCATTCCTTCCTAATGTATCTTAAATTCGAGGCCCAATAAATGTTTAAATGATGTTAGACCTGGAAGTTTAGTGGATCTATTCAAATGTAACCCATGCAACTCTAATTATCTCGTCTTTAATTCACTCTGTTGATTGAAGCTTGAGAATATAATGAAAATTTAAGCATAACCGGTTACCTTAATGATCACATGTGAAGTCAGCTTCCTAGGCAATGGATTGTAACATATAAACCACTATTTTCTAAAGAATTAGAAGCACAAAATCACACAACTTTAGACGAGCAGTAGATGCAGATATTGCTAACGCTTTTATTTCCAGATATTTTGCAAGCAAACTCTTCGGCAACCCCTTTGATTTTAGCATGATATAAGCAATTGCCCAGGTGACACTTGTTAGCACTAAGTACCAATTCAAGCAACCGGTGAATACATGTGCTCTGATAATAAGAAGAAAAAGGATAATTATTGCAAGAATAGTTGATTCTTACCCATCGTCTGAAGAATATATCTCAAGTCCTTCTGTTCCTGAAAGATTTTTACGCAATACTATCAGTTCTAAAGCCATATCACCACATTTAAACTACTGTTTAGAAATTCAGGTTTCTACAAGAGACGATGGTATATCAAAGCAGATAGCGTTAGCTCACAGTAAACATCACGATCCCTGTGGGGTTGGCACAATTTGAAGCTTCTTTGGTGAAGTTGTTAATATCAGCCAAGAATGATTCCACACAAGTTCGAGTAGATATCTGATGATATCGTCATATAAAGCTCCATTAATCAGTATCAGTTGCATTGCAATAAATCAACAGTAACGGACAAATAAAACCAACAAAGGGCAACATTAGACACCAACAAAAAGAAGATAACTAAGCAGGGAAATTAACTAAGTATAGTGGTGTGTTCCCGAACATAATCCAATAATTCAATTTGTTGTAACAAAATGACTTGGACAGTTGCACCCCATACAAAACAACTTTCATTTTTCATTCTAATCAGCATGTGTTTTCCTTTTTTACGATTTACAAAACAATGTAGCGATCTATCAAAATTATCTCTGTCAGTAAAACAAAATAGATATGCTTTTGCAAGATTAATATTCAAAGCTTGAAGGCACCCATTGACCAACTCAAGGACCGGCACTATTACATGAAAATTGAAAGGCACAATTATCTACGAGATGAACCTCACATCAGCAGCCTGTACTCTATAGCCAAGGGTTATACTAAAGAGCATATCCTATATTAACTCCGTAAAGCCATATCTAGGAGTATTTTTAGGACCTTCAAATTTTGGGGATGTAACCCGCTCAACCAAGTGACCAATCTCAACAACAAAAACTAAAAGAAAAAAATTCATACTCTATGTACCCAAAAAAATAATAATAAAAGATTTACTTTCTATGTGCCCGAAAAAATAATGTCCTTAGATTTCACAGAGACTGTCCAATTTTTTGGGACTCAAAATCCTTCTTTTTTTTTGAAGCACTCATTTTGGTGATTTTAAAGTGGAGCCCGAATTTAAAATAGAAAAAATCCTCCCATACAGGTCTTTTGCCCAAGGGAGTATGTGTATTGTGTGCCCAGGTGGGAGCATGATATGATAAATCTCTATCTCTCTCTCTATCCATACACAAATATATGTCCGACAATGTTAAAGTTTTTTCTATAGAGGAAAAAAAAAACTCATTTGTGATAAGAAATAAATCATTTTCTGTGGAATTGTAATTGTGATTAATTGATTAAGGTGTTAGCAACACTACTTCACAAATTCCAATGCTACCCTGAACCACCTCTAACAGATGAAACTAAAATGTAGGGCGTACTTCAGGAGAGCCAAATAACGGCACTGCTTCAACTTTAAGGCCGGGGATGAAGCCAATAGTTAGCAGTACCCCACGATCGGTAAGCACGTCATTGTATGGATCCCAAAGAACCTGAACAAACAATCAGTGGAACCAATTTTCGTAAATGCTCAATCGAAAGCATCACCATGAGTCCATAACAAGCCATTGGATTAACAATTTTGTCAGAAATAGCACCTTTTGTACAACAATTGCAGAAAACAGAAAGAAATTGAGACAGAGACAGAGTACCTCCTCAACTTCATTACTGACAGTATCCCTACCAATTAGACCCTGAGAAAAACATGTGACAAGAGGAACTGTTCCACCAAATTCAGAACAAAGCTGCAAAATGTGTTCTAAATGAAAAAATGTCTTCCTTTGATGGATAACAAAGAAAATGAGTATTCATTTTGCAATTGTAAACCAGAGCCACTGTAGATATGTGAAGTATGTATCATAAATGGAAGATAATAGAACATACAAGAATGTGGGTCTTCTCTAAAGATGACGCGAAGCCCGTGAAAGCCATCACAAAGTGTGGCCGGATTGGTTTAGAGAGAACCTTGGCCAAAGCCTCATCCATGCACTCCTAAAATGAGAAGGACAAACTTATAAATGGTTCACGACCTTTCTCTAAACAAGAAAAACCACTAAAATGGTTCATATCCTTTCTCTAAACAAGAAAAACCTATTTCTGTAGATTCAAAACCAGAAAAATATAGAAACAAAGCATCTCTCAAAAAAAAAAAACAGAAACAAAGCAAACAGTGACAAAGCAAATACTTTAAGCCAGAAACGTAAGTACAATGGAAGATCAAACTACCTAAACTAACTAACCAGCGTAAGATTACCGGAGAATAGACTCTCCCTTCTTTATGCAAAATCAACCCCAATTGCCAAATTAAAGGTATATATCCAATGAACCAGTCATCAATCGGCGAGAAATAAAATTTAACAAACCATTCGTACATTACATGCAAACAATAACAGAACAAATCCACAATATAATTCATAAAAACAGAAAGAGATAGAAAAACTTAACAAAACTAGAAAATTAGGAATTTAGGATGAATCAAGGCCAAACATCATGGACTGCAAGGAAATAAAAGCAGGGAGTATGATATATACCTCTAAAGTGTGGTGGACAGAGAGAGCAGAGAGAAGCTTAGGGCGCGAGAGTATTCGGTTGCAGATGCAGTTCCACGAATGGCAGGTGACGCAGGCCTTCGCAAATGCCTTGGCAGGAAGCCTCCCCAAAATGTTCTCCCACAACTCTTCCGGGAGCGACGCCGCCCTTTCTCTCTCTAATTCTCCACCCATCCTCTCTCTCTCTCTCTCTCTCTCCCTCTATCTTGTTAGTAACTGCACAATCTATCTCCGAGTAACGACAGAGCCTCTCAATCTCTCTGTAAATGTGCACTGTGTCTCACCTCTTGGTTCATGTCTTTCTATGGACTCTGACTGAGTATTCTCTCTCTGGTATAACAGAAATGGGTTCTTTTCCCATTGAAGTCGATGATAATTTTAAAGAAAACCAAGGAACCTTCCCATCTTTCTTTCTTTGAAGTTTGAAAACCCAGAAACCTTCTAGAACTTCTTTGAAGTTTGAACATTGAACGGTCTCTCGCAGGAAAATTTTATTGAACCATCTCCTCTCTCTCTCTCTGTCTCTATCTGTGAAAGATTTTGGAAAAAATCATTGAACCATCCCGAAGAGTTACGTATTAAAAGTATTTGACCTGTGGATAAAAATACTTTTGTTGTTGGGGGAAATAATTTTAAAGAAAACCAAGGAACCTTCTCATCTTTCTTTCTTTGAAGTTTGAAAACCAAGAAACCTTCTACTACTTCTTTGAGGTTCGAACATTGAACTGTCTCTCTCAGGAAAATTTTACTGAACCATCTCCTCTCGCTCTCTATCTGTGAAAGATTTTGGAGAAAAACATTGAACCATCCAGAAGAGTTATGTGTTAAAAGTATTGACCTGTGGATAAAATACTTTTGTTGTCGTTCTCTGTTTGGGGGAAATAAAACAGGCCTTCGTGCGGTCTTTCAGAGTTTCCAACTTCATTATGAGTTTCCCCCCAAAGTCCAGTGCCGTTAACTGGACGCGGTCTTGTTCAACTAAGTCATATTAAAGTTTTGTATGCTTCTTCAACTATGTCGTATCACCCGTCAACTGTCCAATCCCCACCAACCCCGCTTTTGTCCCATTATTAAAGAGAAGAGAAGAGAAGAGAAGAGCTGAGCTGAGCTGAGCAGAGAAAGACAGCGTTTCATCATCCATGAGGTGAACTTGTTGAGAAAATTACAAGTCGAAGCTTTCTTTACAGCCTACTGTCCCAACTTATTTTTTCATTACAACATTTACCCCCGAAATAAATGACGAAAGAAATGCTCCTCCACCCTTCCCGTGCTGACCTGATGATTAGGTTGATGCAAAAGCACTATAGGAAACTCCATTCATAATGTTTTCAAATCTTACTTAGTCGTTGTAACGTTCATGCTATTATTGTAGTGTTACACGTGTGTTTTGAACAACAAATCAAGTGGCTGACTCGGTCATCCTCGTCGTATTGACGAATCGTTAGCCAATCGTAGAGATAATAAAAAAAAATGAAGTAGCAGGTATTGCGTCCACTCGCAGTGTACCGTATGATTCAGATTACTTTTATTTTAATTTTTCACATTTAATTTAAAATTATATCTTGAAGTTTGGGTCTTCGCTTGGGGAATTAAATAAAATAATAAAAATATTTTGCATAAAAAAGTATGGACCAAAATATATTCAGGAGTGTTTTGGTATTTTTTATTCAAAACAATTTTTATTTGGTTATGTTTATAAAAAAGGAATAAGGTTATGCAGAACCGTGGCTCAAAACAATCAAATTAGATCCCACCTTAAAAATTTCATTGTTGTTTTGATACCTAAATATCTTCAAATTGATTATCTCGACATCAAAATGTATGGACATGAGAAAAAAATAGATTTCAAGTTTTGAAAATAGTGCATCTTGTAACGCACTTTTGGACTGTCTATTTTTTAGATTTTTCAAGTTTTTATAGATCTGCTTGATCTATATTATTTCTTAAGCTTTAAATTTTATAACTAAAGATAAAAATATATTTTAAGGCTATTACAAAGATTTTTAGTATTAAACCACATTTCTTGACACTATTTGAGGGTGTATTTTACTTTGATTGTTTAGAGCCTCGGCTTTGTACAAACCACACCCAAAAATGAATTTGTATTCCAAATTTTAGATAAGGAAAAAGATGGGATTAGCCCACTAGCTCACATGAACATATGAGCCCAACGGCCCAAAATGAATCTGAGTCGATCTGACGATCACGGATGTCCGATAGTGCTTGAATTTTTTTTTTCTACAGATCCAAATCACTTGAATTATAGGTGTTATTCTTCTCATCAAGACGCACCTAATAAAAATATAAAAAAATTATTCACAAAAAATGACCAAAATACCCCCAAAAAATTTTCGAGGGTATTTTAGTCAATTTATTTCATGTAAAATATTTTTTTTATATTTTTCTAAGATTCACCTATTTTTGATAAATGCATGTCTAAAATTTCAAATGATTTGGATTTGTAGAAAAAAAAACTAAAATTCAAATACAACCGGACATCCGTGATCGTCAGATCGGCCTATATTCAATCTGGGACGTTGGGCTAATATGTTCGTATGAGCTAGTGGGCTAATCTCATCTTTTCCCTTTAGATAAAATATAATATTTAATTGAAAAAAATAAAATATGAAACTAATTTTTTGCTATTAGATATGGCATTGTGAAATCTCAACCATTGTGAAATCCGATATAGATGGGATAGTTTTCCACAAATATAATAGCAAGAACATATAAATTCCAACATTAAAAAAATAAAATAAATAAATAACAATTCCAAGAACTAGATCACCTACCCCACGCTCTTAGGTCAAACCGGGCATTTGGGCTTCCACCCAGGGTTTCTTAAAAGAATAATAGGAAAATTGCTAAAACCCTCTTAAAATGGACCTTTTACCTGCTTTAAACCCCACCCAACTTTTCCTAGCAACTCCCCTAACAAAATGATGTTTCCTAGTTAATATCCCTACACAAAAAGTTAACTTATTTTGGACAAAAATACCCCTCCCTGACATAACAAATTATTTTCGTTAGAGAGGGCGGTCTGACATTTTTAACAAGCGGTCCGACGATTTCTTTTTGCTGGAATGGGCAGTCCGGCGTTTCATGGTGGCGGTCCGACGATTATTTTTCATGGTGGCGGTCCGGCATTTTGAAGTTACAGTCCAGCATTTTGAAATTGCGGTCCGGCATTTTGAAGGGGTAGTCTGGTGTTTTGATGTGGCAGTCCAAAATTTTATAGGAGCAGTCCGGCGTTTTGAAGTGCGCTAGATTGAGCAGTCAGGTGTTGTACAAATGCGGTCCGGCGTTTTCTTTTATTGGGATCCGAAAATGATTTGTCATGTGAAGGGAGGGTATTTTCATAAAAAAAGATATAACCTTTTGAGTTGGGGGGTATTAGTTATAAAAAGATGGTTTTTGAGAAAAATAAGTGAGAAAAGTTGAGGATGGGGGTATAGTGTCTAAAAGGTATATTTTTGAGGCTTTTTAGTAATTTTCCCAGTAATCATTATAAACATGAAGACTAAAAGTTCAAAACAAGTCATGGGGACTTTCTCTTCTCAATTGCGGTAGCTATGTATTTGGTGCCAAAGATGTACTCGATACTTTGACACACAATTTCATGAGCCGGATTGGAATTACTCCTTTTGCGTAAAAGCTAGAATAACATTGCATTTAATGCTATTCTCAAGCATTGCTCATACTTGCCATGGTCAAGGCATTTTGAGTTCAATGTAGTGTTCGAAAAATCGAACCGGCCTAGGAAACCGGTCAAGGGCGGGATCTGAGTAATCAGTAAACTGGTCGGTTCAACCAGCCTAACTAGGCAATTCCCGAATGATAAAAAAGTATTAAAAAAATAAAAAAATATATATAAAAATGAAAAGTACATTTAAAACATGATTAAGCAATGCCAATCCAAATGAAGTTGAAAATTAGTGAAAATATACATTTTAAAAATCAATTTCTACCCAAGGATATTTTTAATTTTTTTTAAAAAGATAAAAAAATGTAAAATTAAGTATCCATGACCATAACACTTTCCAATCTTAGCCAAAATGATAAAAACATTAAAAATCACATTACAAACTAATCGCTTAGTTTTTAAGATTTTATATAAATTTTTTTAAATACCCTGCTGGATCACCAAAACAGGCCAAAATCAAAACTGACCAGTACTGGGCACTGACCGGTTTGGATTTGAACCGATCGATATTACAAAAACTGGTTCAGCATGCTGTCACATGAACCTTTTTGATGTGGCCTGCAGTTTTAAAGGCGAATGAATGGATTGATAGCTGCCACTCTCTCATAATTATATAAAGACACATGAATGGATTGATTGATGCCTCTCTCATGATTATATCGAGGGAAAGTATTTAAAAGGACAATTTCTTTTGGCTCAAGGATGTCACAACCACCTTAGCAGTTTAATGTAAGATTGAGTGGTTGGGGGTGTATCCTTGATTATGCTCAAAGTCTAAATGAAAATTTCTCAAGCTTTGTGACACAACTAGAGCCATTAGATTCGACCTCCGATGGATAAAAGTGATTTGTGGCCTTCTTGTATCATAAATAAATGGTCTTATAGTATACAATCCCTTATCTTAATGGTTTGTTTAATATGTGCTAAGAGTACCTAGGCTATATTTGATTGCACTCGCATATCTGAATATTTTAAAACCTCGTGTAATTTTGTAGAACCCCATTTTGAATTGGCATTTTTTCCTTATTTTATCTCACCTTAAAACCTCTACAAATGCCTTAAGCATACTTATTGAACTCCTAGAGACTGTATTGTCGTAAAGATACCCATAACCACCAACCTTGCGATCTATAGTCCCTTATCCCATAAAATCATCATTTGAATTTGAAATAAACAAAATGCAGGAGAGAAACATCGTAAAATTGAAAACGTGATTAGAATTATAAAAAAATGTGTGGAATATCAAGAGAATTGAAACCTCAAGATTCTGGTCGGACGACACAAGACACGTCATCACGGTGGATTTGACTAAATCGACACATCTCATGTCATCCTGGCCACCATGTGCAAGAAGGTTGTAGTTGGGTGATACACGCTTTGGACAACACGATTATATTGTCGGCCCCTGATAATCCTAGACGACATGTCTGGCACTTGCCCACCAGAATTTCAAAATTTGAGTTAAACAAATTTAATAAACATTCGAATCACATTGCAACAACTCGGAGGGTCTATAAAAAAACCAAAGTCCGACCATCTGAAAGGTTAGATACTTAGGACACTTAGGCTAGGTACTTGAATTTGGCAGTAAGAGTAGAAACTAAAGAGAGAAGAAGCCCTGAGGTTCCTGTAATAAACCCCATTTTCTAGAGAGAAAAACCCCAACCGTCAAACCTTAAACCCTCAAATGAATCTTGGTAGAAATAAAAGAGCACGAACGCTTTAATCCCAAACCCTAGGAAACTCAATTCCTAGCCCTTAAGAAACCACTATTAGCTAACATTTAACTATGATTAATTATAAGGAGAAGAGAAAAGGGACTATAGTGTAAACAAAGTCACGGTCCTGATACGGGCGAAGCTTCAAGCATCCTGTGCCCAAAGAATTTTTGAGAGAGAGAGAGGAACTTTTGGAAAGATAATTATGCCCCACATTTAATTCTTATAGTGGTTCTTTCATTGCATATATAATAGTAATACAATGGTATAATGTATACTTTCCTATCTTGTTACATACAATATACATTTTCCTCTCTTGTTACCTTCTACAATGGCAATATTTCAATATACACTTTCCTATCTTGTTGCATTCCTCCATGTTAATATTTTCTTTCCATTACTCCCCCTCAAACTCGGTTGGGTAGGCATTTGAAGCCTAAGTTTGAAGCAAAGATATTGAAAAACATCTCATGGAAAATGCTTAGTAAAGATATTAGCTACATGATTACGAGAGGAAACAAAACGAGTGATAAGTAATCCAAGATTACCTTTTTCACATGTAAAATGATATTTTAACTCAATGTGTTTTGTCCGTGTATGAAAAACATGATTAACGGTCATGTAGAGAGCACTAATAATGTCACAAAAATGTTTTGGTGGCCTAAAAAGAGGCAACCCAATATCCCGAAGATTAAAAGAATGACATGTGAATTCTGCAG